GGAGGCAGAGTTTATTGCATGTTATGAGGCCACCTATCATACATTATGGTTACGAAACTTCGTCTCCAGACTTATGGTGGTAGATTATATTTCTAAACCATTGATGATTTTCTGTGACAATTCTGCTGCAGTTATGTATTCAAGGAACAACAAGAGTTCAGGAAAATCTAGACATATAGATATTAAATACGTTGTTGTAAAATAGAGGATTCAGAACCAGCTTGTGTTTATTGAGCACATTAGTATACAACAAATGATTGCTGATCCCATGACCAAGGGGTTGCCGCCTAAGCTATACAGTGAGCATGTTACTCATATGGGTATTATTAATAGCTTTGATTTAATTAGTTAGTGGGAGGTTGTTTTTTGACTCAGTTGTAGACACATTTGTAATTGTGATCACAGTTACTTATATTATATTATCCTCATTTATTTACTTTTCCATATTGGTGCACGTGTGTATGGAAAATTATAAGTGTCATTTATGAGACATAGTGTGTCCTTATTGAGACACGGTAGGACCGAAGCATGGCATAATACTTTATTGTTTAGCACATGCGGTATTTATGTATAAACTTGAAGTTGAGTGTATTAATGTTTGTGACCATTGATGTCCTATATTATTAAATAATATAATGACGTCCTTAATCTAATATTGCTATACTTGTAAGGACTTCATGAAAGTTGTTTGGTACAATGATTCTCTAAATATAGATAATTTATTTAAAGTGTGCACACCAACATTGTTTCAAAAATATTTTTCAAATATATATATATATATATATATATATATATATATATATATATATAAGATTAATTATGATTATAAGACCAAGTGGGAGAATGTAAGAAAAATGGTCTTATTATTATTAATCTTAACTTTTATTTAAATGATTTTATAATATTCATATTTAAGAGATGTGATTGTTATCATATAACTATAGTTTATTTAGAGAGGGGTGTGTTGGTTGATGGAACCAACATGTCTCTTTTTGGTAATGTTTAAGAAACGGTCCCAGCCCTCTATATATATAATACGTGAAAGAAAGTCTGAATCCATCTTCAGTTTCACGGGAAAAGATAGAGGGTTGAAGAGTGTTTCTGATACAGTTCATCTCAAATTCAAATTACTAAAGATGGCAGGTATGTTTCTAAACAATATTTATGCACACACTCTCTCCACATACTTTGTTGCTTCGAAAGACTTCCCTGCTTTCACTAAACCGCCAACAAAAATGGTGTCAAAATTCAGTAATGGGTTTGATCCCTTCCTCCCACTCTTCCCTAGATGCCCTTGCAGTAACATTATACTATATATGTATGCATTGTAGCCTCTATTTTATCATCTCTCCAAACACTTGAGATGCCTCTCAACTCCAAAAACCCCTTGATCAATCCATGATACACACTTATATCTGGTTCTTAATCCATTCCACAATCTTATAAGCCTCTCTAAATCTACTAGCCTTTGTCAATAGCCCATAAATTAATGACCCCGATGTCAAATTATCCGATTCAATCCCTCTCTTATGCATTTCTTCAAACACCAAATAAGCTTGCCCAAGCTTTCTTTTTTTACACATCCAATTGATCACAGCCCAGTACATTGATAAACACAAATCATCCATCCTTTTTATCCTCATTGATTGAAAAAACCTAAATGCTTCGTCGAATTGATTAGTCTTGAAAAGGGTCTCTCCATCATTTCTTCAACCATCTCAGTATCTGCCTGGAACCTTCATCAACCATTTAATTCCAAACTTTAAAAGCCCCAACCAACCAAGATAAGAAGAAGATATGCATTCAACATTTTAGCTTGCTTTTGTATTAGTATTTGACAATAACAAAGGGTAAGGGCCCGTTTGGCATGCGTTTTATTTTAGGCGTTTTGTTTTTTACTAAAACAGAAATAGAGTTTTTGTTGTAGAAGTGTTTTGAAAACAAAAATCAAAAGCACGCTTGGGAACGATGTTTTGCTGTGGAAATGTCAGGTCGTGTTGCGCTATTGTTATGATTTTGGGCCATGAACAATTGTCAAAACAAGAAAAAACAACTTTTTAATGTTTTGGTTTTGGGTTACTGTTCATGAAATGTTTTAGCACTATGTAAAATAAAACAGGGCTGCACCAACCATGTTTTTGTTGTCAAAATCGTGTAATGTTTTCGATTTTCACCATTTTTTATTTTCTAGAAATTTCTGGTTTTTTGAGGGTATTTTTGTCTTTTCTCGTTTTGCATGCAGACACCGTAGGGTGTGCCGGGTGTGTCTGAGAGTTGGTTGGGCATTCCATTGAGTTTAGAACTCTTGGAAATGCACTGGTTGCCATTTTGGCATTTTTCTATTTTTCGGGCCCGCCGGGTGGAACCCACTACAAGGATTTTGTTTGAGTCCATTTGCATTTTATTCATTTTATTCAATGTAATTTATGTGGTGACATGTTTGTTTGTATTGTAATTTGGTTAAGGTGTATATATATAACTTTGGTGGTGGAAAAATAAATTGAAAAGATATTTTTTTAAATGCTGGGACCTACCACTTCATTTTCTAGTGGCCAAGAGGCCATCTTTGGCCTCATTTTTTCCTCTCTCTCCCATAAGCTCTCTCCCTCCTTCTCTTTCTCATTTTTTCTTTCCCTTTTTGAGCAAATTTCAAGCTTTGATTTCTCTCTCATTTTGGAGAGTTTGTTGGTGTCATTTGCAAAAAATCGGAGAGCTCGTCGAGGCCGTCATTTTGATAGGAGCAATTCACCACTTTGGCCAACCCTTGATTTTCAAATTTTAGGCTTCAAATTGGGGGGTTTTTGCATTTTTGGAGGTAGGGGTTCCTAATCCACAAACTTCTTGCACTTTTGTGAATTATCCTTCTTGATTTGTTGTCTAGCATGCCAAATTGTATTGATTTTCCTTTAAAATGACTTAATTATGTATATGAAACATGTGATTATGTCTGTAAATTGATGTTGTATATGAAAGCATGCCTAGTGGTAATTTTCTATGCCTATGTATAATTTTGCTAGATTTTGCAATATGAAAGTATGTTAGTTATTATTAGAAACTTTCCTTCAAGGCTTGTTATATTGTGAATATTTGACTTGTATAGTATGTGATTTCTCTTATATATATTGTTGAAAGGTATGAGACATCCATGCATGTCATTGGGTATAGAATGGGGATGATTTGATTTAAAATAAAAAAGAGATTTTTGGGAAAAAGTTTTGATAAAAAGGGTTGTAAAAACCTAGACACCTAGGGGCTACCTAGGGTCCATGGCATTAATGTGACCTAGAGGAAAATAGGGAAATCACCTTAACGTGGTTGAGTTATCTAGCCCCAAATGACGCCACGGGGTTATCATGGGTCAGGGACAGTAACCAATCCTTCTCTCGTGTCGCTATGGGGTTGCCATGGGGTCACCAAGGGGCGGGTTATGTTAACGGTTTGAAAGGTGATGAATAAAATGGATTTTTAAAGTAGGAAGTGACATAGCATGGCATTACATTTCCATGGCATGATATTGTTACTTCTGACCTTGAAATTGTTTGGTATTTTCCCCGGCATGGCATGATCCCGTTACCTTTACTTCCATTCATTGTTTGGGTTTACGGGGTCACAAAAGGTATGTCTTAGGCACCACCTCCTAAGCAATTTGCTCACCCCTTTATTATTAACATTTTTCAGGACATGAAAAGGAAGTGGCGGTCAACAATCCACCACAAGTTTATAAGGATTGAAAGGAACTTGAATCCCCACTTGTGACTAATGTATTTACTTTTAATTTTGTTGTAAAAATTTATTAAGATGTATAGTTTGTGAAGTTTGGTCTTAATATATTTATTTGTAATGCAATGTATTTATTTAGGGTGGAAATGGTTTTGAGACCCTTGGCATCATATTTTAAGGTCTCATTAGGATTTCTACCTTTTTTTGAGGGTTGTAGCTTCTCATAATGTAATTTAAACTCAATTGGTTTGTGAGCATTGTAGCCGGATAAAGATGATGAATGTATGATGAGATCAAAGTTTCTTTGCGTCACCATGTTGTGGAATTCCTTAAATTAGCTTACCAAATTGTTTATTGTTACCATTCATGTATGTTGGGTTGAGAAGATGGAATGTAAAGCTTAGGAATGCATTTGGGGTAGAAAATTTCAGACCTCCCAAGTGGAGAGCCAGCTCTCCCTCTTTGGGAGTCAACTCTTTTTGGTCTAGTAGCCAAATTTCATCAAAAACGTGGAGTGGAGCCTGCTCTTTTGAAATGGAGCATGCTCCTTTAGGGTGGAGTCTACACCTTTGGAATGAAGCATGCTTCTTTGGTATGAATAGAGCCTACTCCTTTTGAGTGGAACTAGCTCCTTTCACAGAAAAGAGGCGGCTCCATCAAAATGGGAGCCGACTCCCTTGTTATTGTCTTTTTTTTTTTTTAATTCAGACTTTGGATGGCTATAACTTTCTCATTTTAAATCCAAATGGGTTCAGTCTAGAGTTAAATTTCAAGTATTTTCAGTTAGCTTTCCAATGAAATTAATTTCACTCAAAAATTCAAATCGTAGAGAGAGTTATGACTTTTTTAGTGTGGACTGCCCTGGGATTCTTTGGAAAAAAAAAAAAAAAAATGAAGAACAATTACGTAAAATCTTCATTCTTATGTCCGGGTCTTTATGTCATGAGTTCAAATGACCCTTATGACTTATGTTGACCTATTTAGACACATTTAGAATTATATAATTAATTTATATACCCTAGTTAACTATTTTACCCTCGGGTGTTTTTCGGTTTGGGTAAGGACCCAGTTAGTGATTCCGACCCACGAGTTCGGGTCGTTACAAATCGACACTGTAGCAGCCAAAAAAAAAAAGTATAAACAAAACGCATGCCAAACGGGGCCTAAGCTTACACAGGTGAAGTGATCCGTCATGATGTTCTCTTGTCCCACATCGGGAAAAACATAAGTTGAAGTTATCTCCACAGGCTTATATAATGAGTTGATAACCAAGGACCAACATACTTACCTAAACGGGATGTATGAGTGATCAATGAAGCCCATGGACTAGGTTGGTGACATCCATTACACTCAGGAGGGGTGCCTGTCTAAGGTCTACTTAAGTAGTAGAGCCTACGTCATAATTGGTGGTAATGGGGTCTGCGTTCGAGGCCCAGTCCAATTATTAAAGCCCAAGTCTTTTAAACAGTTTGTTTATAGGTTATCATGTAGACAAAGCCCAGTATATATCCTATAGCGTTTATAGGTTGGATTATATAATAAGGCCTAGTCTTCTTGTTTTGGTTATATGGGTTTGGACTTATAAATTGATATTTAAGATTTTGTATTTATTATATTTGGTAAAAAAAAAAAATTGATTAGTGTTCAAAATTGCTCCATTTGAATTAAGTAACTAATGGTGTTTCTATTTTATTATAATTACTCTATTATGAAAAATCCAAATTATGAATCCACCCCTTTTTTGAATTTTGAAAACTCAAACTTACAAATGAGAATGAACCCGTGAGTTCTTTTGTAAATTGTTGTAACATGAAAAAATTTCATTAATTTTTAAAAATAAATTAAAATTTAGCTTGCTTGGCAATCCTATGGACACTTCAAGGTTATAAGATAAGCTTCACCAACATTAGACCGAACTGCAATAAGAAAAATGGTGCAATCTAAGGCCTCTTTTTGTACAGGGCCATCATCTTTCTCTCCTTAATCCATATTACATACATATATATACATACATATCATCCATTTTATATTTCAACAATTTCCTTCCGGTGCCCTCTTTATAAAGAAAGCAAAATAGAGTGCCCCAAAACCCCTCAGCAAAATGGGAGATGCATATGCAGATAAGTTTGAAAAATTGCGAAACTAGAATCTTTCTCAATTCGAAAAGTGTATCTTTCTGTTTTAAATAAACACGATAAATGACTAAATACATAAAGACACTACGTCTTCTACAAAAGGGACTGACCGTGATCATATTATGCTGTTGTTTAGAAAACCCTTTGCATAAATATCTGATTGGTAGGTCCACTAAATGTGCACTCCTCGTGGGTTCATCTATTATGACCCAAAAAATAAATAAATAAAAATAAAAATAAAAATTTCGGTATGACCTCAACAGAAGAAGTCCTACTACGACCTGCGGAAATGCATATAAAATGCAATGGCCTCAGTTGGCCTCAAAACTAATCTATTATGTCCCAACGCACAATGCAATAATATACAACATCCCCAAAATTAACACATACATACAAAATGACCCATTTCTTTATCTCTGCCAAACAAGGAATCACTTTAATTACATTAGGTTACAGTCCATGAAATATATTTATTTACACAAATTCTACCATTACAACACTATACAAGTTACACTTAATTTTTTTTTATAAAAGATACATGATCATGTTTCTATATAAAAGACAACAAAAATAGAGTTCTAGTCCAGTCTTAATTTGCAATAAGTTATTGCCCGCTAATTCTTTCCCCAAACCTGAAAAATGTTAAAATAATAGGGTGAGCATAAGCTCGGTAGGAGTTGTCTAAGACACACTTCTATTACCCCGTGAATCCATGCAAAGAATAGGCAAAAAGCAGACGATATCATGTTATAAGGAATGCACATCAACAACCACAACTACAAGCTTATAAATAGTTATCATTGTAACACAAATACACCAAATATGCAAATGAAGTGCAATGTCATGCCAATGTTGCTCCCTATTTTCCAAAATAATTTCTTTTCACTGTTCCAAACTGTTAATGCAACCCAACCAATAACACCTCTATGGCGTCACGAGGGAAAGGTTGGCTAGCTTTCTCCAACCACATGGCACCTCCATGGTGTAGTCTAGGCCTAAGTAGCTCAACCACACTAGAGTCTCTCTCTATTTCCCTCTAGATCACATTAATACCACAGACCACTAGGCGCCTCCTTAGCGTCCGATTTTCACGAACACTTTCCAAAAACGTTCTCCCAAAACAATTCCATTACCTTTTTAAAACAACATTTCCCCCATTCCATGACCAATGAAAATACATAAATGCACCATGCCTCTTAAATATCATAATTCTTTATACATTTAAATTCTTAATCATAAACACAATTGGGAGAAAAATTATATAAAACATATATCATGTTTCATGCTATATCTTCGGCAACTCAATTACATAAGACAAGAAATATAATCATTTAAGACATGTTTTCTCATAAAATGACAACGAACACATAATCGCATATCACATATACAACAAATAAATAATTTTTGCAAGGATCCACACGAATTAAGCATACTATACAACAATTCATGAAAAATGATTCACAAAAATCTAAAAAAAATGTGAATTAGAAACCCCTACCTGAAAATAGATGAAATGCCCCAAATTAGACCCAAAATTTCAAATTTCAAAAGTGCTCCAAACTAGAAATTGCTCTGATCAAAACAAAGGTCTCGACACGCTCATCAACTTTGCTTCAAGCACCAATATCAAATTCCCAAAGGTTATGGCAAGATCAAGCTTGAATTGTTGTAGAAAAAAAAAAAAAAAAAAAAAAAAAAAAAAAAGGGAAACAGATATTCTTATGAGAGGGAGAGAAAGTGACTGACTGTGTAATGGCCATTACAATTGTAATATCATCTTTTTGCGTGTTCAACGACTTTTTAAAAAAAAGTCTTTTAACATAATACTTGTTTATATACTTACTAATTAAATCACAACCACTAATAAGCATAACACCAAGTAAATGAAAAAAAAAAAAAAAGCCAAGACCATTACAATCTACCATCCTTAAAAGATTTTATCCTCGAAATCTACCCTCCTTAAAGAAGGAGGCTCACAGTCACACACCTTCCCAAGAAAATCTCATAAAACCTTAAGACCTTGAACTCACCAACATTATTGTCTTTGACATTGGGCGTTACTAGGCAATCACACACTATTGCCACAAAACACAATGCTTCCCACCATATGAGGGTACTTATTACTCACAACATTACAACACGAGACCAACTAGGCCCTACACCCGACTCTCAATTGACATAAGTCCACTCTATACTGCTACGCAAGACTCTGAAACCCGAAAGAAGAACAGTCACTAGACCACCAAACATGACAACATTCAATCTCAACTCCTCCCTAAAAGGACACACAAAATCCCAGACAAATAACCACGTCCATCTCATAATCAAGCTCAACTTTAATCAACACATCTCTGTCAGACCAAACACTCACTACTTAACACTTAACTACACCACTACATACCCATACAATGACCACCAACTATACCAAGCGGCAATCACTAAACTTATCATCCTCAAGATGACTAAATAATGAATCTCCCAACGACTGCATAATCATAAATCACCAGAATAATAAAACAAATTATCATGTACCCAGGTCACCATTGCTCAAAACAAAATCTTCAATAATTAATGATCGAATCACAAACCTTATACCAGACACTTAGTACAACCTAACATACTTCATCACCCAAAACAAATCATCCGAATCCACACTGTCACACCGACACAACACGCAATACCGTGCTCTCATTATCCCTGACAAATGAAACAATCATTGAACTTTAACCTGACATCATGCTAAGAGGGACTGATTTAGGAGAAATGGTTGGCCAGGCCATTCTCATCATCGATCCGGTCTCAACACAAATGTCGTTCATGTCCTCATGTCCAAACCTCAAACACACTCTCACACAGTCCACAAGACAACCATGAGATTCACTCACTATCAATCCATCATTCTACATAACCACAATGGCTAACAGTCACATACTTACTCTAAAAATCCCAATCATGCTTTAATCATACAACCCTAATAAGCTAGTAAGAGCACAACATCAAACATCACAATCATCGACCAGCGTAAAAACTCTCTAATGATCTCATGGCACCCATACCAGATAAACGACTCCATAACATCATTTGGTTCAATTCTTACTTCTTCAAAACACACAATACAACCGTCTCATGCCTAAAACCTCAAAACCAAAATCAATCATTCTCATTATTCCTCAATGGAATCCCATATTCATTTTCTTTAATCACGTAGTTCTAAGGCTACATCGACACTTATCCTCAACATACTACTTGAATCAAACGCCAATAAAAACATCCGAGTACAAGATTGACATCACATTGCCTAACCATTCTCAAGCTTACAATTCACGACACACCCCTAGCCATCACCGAAAGTACCCGACACTGGAAACACAATCCCTATTCGGCAACTCGTGCTGTCAAAACTACCCTCAAAACAAGCACTACTAAAAATTGATGACTTTATCTCCCTCCGTGGGAATGAGTCGACCAAATCAACCAAACATTTACCGATGAACTCGACAACATAACAAATCACACACAGTTCCGTCCACCCACGGACACGCACAACTTCTAAATGAAAGACAAGACTTACAATAATCGACGTCCTTGCCAGGACTAGAACAAATGGGAAGGGTAACAAACCCCACTCTCACAAGAGATTGACGACTCGTACCTGAACGCACCCGACACCTTGTCACATGCTACACACTAACTGTCCAACCATAGACACCCAATCTCACCTGAGATGAACTAAACTCCTTATACACAAAGAAAAGAACCAAATGGATACCCATACGGAACTACGAACTCAATTCTAGGCGGCCTCGCCACTAACAGACCGTCATACACTATCAACATAGAGACCTCACATACGATACCCCGTAACACCTATGCTAACCAAAACTAATAAAATCCCTACCTCCCATTCGTCGAGTACTAAGATACAACTCACAACACAACCATCAGATAAAAGCATCAATGCTCACGACATACTAACACTAGAAACGATCACAGCCTATCGGACACTGCATCTCGTCACTCCCAAATGACAACCCCTATGCCATAAAATAACACTTTACCACCCATTCCATCAATACCTTCCCAGACGATACTACCTCGATCACTATGCACACCCGACTCGTGATCTCAGTCACAATAACCCACTGACTCGTTAAAAAAAAAAAAAAAAAAAAAAAAGCCTCCTGGCAACATCGTCCTCACTGGCTCTAAAGACTAAGCTGTTCACCATCATCTCGACTGATGCACAACCCCTATCACCTACCTGATAACATACAACAACAACTCATACTCTCCAATCCACCC